TCTGTCTCTTTCTCTCTCTGTCTCTGTCTCTCTCTGCCTCTGTCTCTCTCTGTCTCTTTCTCTCTCTGTCTCTGTCTCTCTCTGCCTCTGTCTCTGTCTCTCCCTCCCCCCTCCCCCAAGACCCCTCAGGCCCTCTCCAGCTCCCACTCCCTCCAGGGCTCTGAGGGTAAAATTAAGCCCTCAGATCCCACCCTCTCCGCCTCCCCTCCCCCGGGAACTACACACCAGCCCCATGGAAACCAAACAGAAGGGGCCGCCACCTCCCCACAGCCCTGCCCTGATTCCTGGATGAGTTCTGAGCCTGGAGGGTTCAGGGATTACAGCCTGTCTCCCAGAGGACAGAGGGCAGTCTGGGCGTGGCTGGGACAGGCCGCCCACCTGCAGGGTCTCCTCCTCTGTTCCCAGGAGATGAAGCCTGGCTCGCTAGCCACCATATGCAAAGGGCTCTACAGCAATGTTAACAGCAGGGCAGGCTCTGAGCAGGGACGTGGGATTATAGCTCAGTCCTTCGGGAAGCCCCTTCTTGGGGGTCCTTCTCAGGCTCCACTGCTGTCACAGTTCAGGGTCTCAGTGTGGAGCCAGCCGGGGGACTCTGGGGCTTGGGTGTGGGTGCGTGCCCCCGTGAGAGTCCTGTAAGGAACATGCATGATGCACAGCAGGCCCAAGTGGAGGCTGGTTCTGGCCAAAGCCGCTCGTCCCTCCCGCACCCTCTGGCCTCCGGGCACCGACTGCAGACCCAGGGCCCTGGGTGCCAGGTGTGGGCACGAGGCGACGGGGCCTGGCCCAGCTGGGGGACGTGGAGATGACCGTGACGGTGGGGAGTGAGAGCGAGCCAGGGGCCAAGAGGGTCCGACTGGGAAGCTGGTGCCCAGGCCAAGGGCAGGCAGGCACCCCACCAGGAGGAGCTGGAAAGCGGGTGTGGGGAGAAGGCTGAGAACCAGCCAGCCCTGGGGGACTTACACAGGAGACAGGACTACCAGACATGAAGGCCCTTCTCACGGCTACGGATCCTGCAGGGTTGGGATAAGCCCTGAGCCGCCCCTACTCTGCTGTTGGACAGACTGAGGCCATGCTCCTATACAGGGCGTGGGGCAGCGGGCAGGTGGGCAGTGGCTGGGCCAGGCCTGTCACAGCAGGTGACACCAACACGGTCCTGGCATGCTGGTCCCCCCGCACCCGCTCCCTGAAGCCTGAGGCGCTGGCCAGACACGCAGCACTGTTTGTGTGGTTGCCGGGCAACAAGAGCACGTCCTGAGAGGCAGTGACAGCCGAGGACAATGAGATGTGGCAGGAAGTCGCCTTGTGGCCCAGGCGCAGCCCCTTCCTCCGTGGGGCTGGAACAGAATTGTCCTCATCAGAAACCGGCAGGCAGGCGGCCAGGAGGGTGGGCAGAGTGGCCGACGGGGCCTCTGCCCGTGAAGCAGGTGAGGCCAGGACTGAGGTGTGTCGCCCAAGCCCTTTGCCCCCACGTCTACACTCGGCTCGCTCACAACATCACTGCCAGCCAACCAGCGTGGGGTCAGCGTGGCCCGAACTCAGACCCTCAGCCTGCAGGTGGAGGTGCCTGGGGCACCTGACCTGGCCTGGCCTGGCCAGCCCTGCAGAGCTGCCTGCGGCCAATTGCCTGAGCCATCCCACACCTGCAGGCGTGCTAGCCAGGCCACCTCCCTGAACGCGTCCCCTGAACCCAGAGGCGTGGCTTCCCAGGGGAGGGGCCCTGAGACTCCAGGGCAGGGTCTGCCTAGACGTGGTGGGTGAAGCTGCCCACAGCCCCCTCGGACATGAAGCTGTCCAGAGCAAGAACAAGCACAAGCCTGCCGGCCGCACGTGGAAGAGAACCCAGCCTGCTTGTCTGGTCCAGCACAGCTCAGCACTCAGGCGACACCCAGTCACCCACAAGATGATGTTGCTGAGCGAAAAGTCAGCTGCATTTTGCCCAAGATGACCTGGCCGTTCACTGCATCTGCCACACACTGGGGACCATTGTGGGCTGAGCCCTTGGAGCGGAGAGGGTCACAGAGGGTGCCACACCCTCAAGCTCCCGCTTTTACTTTCACATGTAATTTGGAGAGTCTTAAGGCCAAGCAAGTAATAAAAAGAAAAGGACGAGTCCGAGGTGTCTCACTTTCATTACCAAGCAGGAGGCCGCCTGCCCGTGAAGTTCCAGTCGGTGGGAGCTGTTCTGAGAAGCGCCTGGCCCGACATCCCTAGCAACAATCTGTGTTTAGTAAACAAACAGCGCAGCGGCGCCAACCCAACACGCCCTCTGCACTGTTAACCTCTGCGTCCTGGCTGCGGCAGGAAGAGGCGGCGGGCGCACCGCAGAGCTCCCACCGCCCACGTTCCCTCCCAGCGCTCCCGCCGAGTCAGAGCCGGGCCCGGAGAGGAGGCCAGCTTCGCCTCACTGATCAGAGCCTCTCCCCCGCGTTGCCCAGTTCGTTTTGCCTCGGGCCACAACACAGCGTCTCCAGAGTAAATCAAGTCACACCAGGCTCCAGTCCCTCCCGCACAATGGACGCACGGGTCAGACAGCCTAGCCGTTTCCCTTCTAGAGCGTGCCAGTTCACGCCGAGGGAAGCACTGACTCTCGGGGTCGCCCAGCACCCCGCTAGCTGACCTCTGCGCCGCACATCCGCCCACCTTTGCTACTTCTTCCTGGTTTCCACTTGGGCCTGTGGAAAGCCGCCCTGACCCCAGACCCTGACCTTCCCAGCGCCCTGGCGTGGGCCAAGGTCACTTCCCCGCCAGCCTAGTCCCTGCAGGCCCGAATGATGCTGGTGCCCCCCAGTGGCCAGAGCGTAGTGCCCAATGTGGCTGCCCAGGGCCAGAGGGACATCACTGAGGGACTAGGGGGTGCCAGGCAGCGGGACACTGGACAGAAAAATGTGTCTCAAAGGCAGCCTGAGGCCTGGACAGCCAGGGAAGCTGTCCTGCATCCATCACTTGGGACGACCGGGAGTGGGCAACACAGACCGGGCGTTGAGCCACCCAGGAGGGCGGACAACCATGGACCAGGGTTCCAGAAGAAATGGCCGGTCCAGGTGCGGGCAGGGAGTGCACGTGAGCCCGAGGTTCCTTGCTGTGCCGGAGAGCAGGTAAGAGCTGAGAGTGACCACTGGACAGAGAACACGGGACCGGCTCAAAAGACTCCAAGGGCCAAAATGGGGCTAAATTATGGGTCAAAAGATAGCGGATAGTAATCCAGCACATAAGCAAAACACACAGTTAGGGGCTGAACGGTGTCCCAGAAAGATGTTGAAGTCACCAGCCCAGGACCTGTGAGGGTGACCTTGTTTGGAAGCAGGGTCTTCAGGGATGGTCACGTTAAGTCGTTAGGGTGGGTCCTGACCCCATAGGATGGACGCACTTATAAGAGGCCTTCAGGACACAGACACTCGCAGAGGGACGACCATGTGAGGACACGGAAGAGGCCACATCTAAAGCCAACGGATACCTGAGACCAGCAGAGCTGAGAGAAAGGCCAGGAACAGACCCTCCCCTGGAGCCTTCAGAGGGAGCGCGGCCCTGCCCACACCGTGACCTCAGATTTCTGGCCCCAGAACTGAGGGGGCACAGATTTCCTTGTTTAAGCCGCTCTGCCTGTGGCACTTGTCACAGCAGCCGGGGGAAACGCATACGCCACTGTTCCACGGTGCTGCTAGGGGAGAGAGGGAGGGTGGGGTGAGCTGAGTGAGGAGGCGGCAAAATTAGGAAATTTTTCACCATTTTACAAGCCCCAGTGAGACTGCGATTTGGGCAAGGGAAAACGGTGCACCCACGGCCCCAAAGTCTACCTGCGGATTGCTCCTAACTTTGGGGGAGGGACCTGGCCCTCCTCCCCAAGGAGCAGCCTCCCAATGGGGGCCAGACCATAGGGCAAGATGGTGAGGCCAAGAAAACCACAACAGCTGCCCGACCAAAGGCAGGTGGGTGCTGTGCTAGGCCAGAGAGACCCAAGATCCCAGCACCACAGGAAAAGCACAACCCTTGACCAGATCCTGGATTAAAAAATAACATAACGGATGCTTTTGAGACTGCTGGAGAGGTTTTGAGGTGGGCTGCCCGTCAGATTGTACAGTTACGGCTCGTCTTGGCTGTGACAAGACACGAGTTGCGTGGGGTGACGTGGGGCCTGGGATGGGGCTTTGGGAATGCTGCCTCGCCCCTGACGAGGGACAGGAGGCCCAGAGGAGGGGTGGCTGTGCTCAAGGGCACAGGGGGCTGATGGT